TTGTGTTCACCTACAACTAATATATATATATATAAAAAGTGGGGAAACAAGTCATCACAGTGGTGCACATCTGTAACCTTGGCTACTCAGGAGGCTGAGGCAGGAGGATTGTTAAGTTTGAGGCCAGCATGGGCAACTTAGTGARAACCTGTCAAAATTCTTAAAARAGCTGGGAATGTAGCTGAGTGATAGAGTGTCTCTGGATTCTATTCCTAGTTCTGAAAAAAAAAAAATCCCTAGCATATCAAGTTTGAAGCAGAGGTACACAGTCATCTACCACCTCTCTTGCCTAAGAAACAGACTAAAAATTAAAGGAAGCTCAGTGTTCTGTTGAGGGGCTTACAACAAAATAACAATAGACGATGTAATCACAATATTATTTCAAGTTTTGATAACTGTCCCCCTTTTCTGCATAGAGAAAATAGAAGAAATCACAATGTATTTATAGTAGAGTCATTATCAGCACCCAGATTTTAAAACTCCAATGTTTCCTGAGACACTGAAGTAGGAGGATTTCAAGTTTGAGGTCAGCCTGGGAAACTTAGCAAGACCCTCAAAATAAAATCAAAAAGGCTGGGGGTGTAACTCAGTAGAGCACTTGCCTAGCATGGATAAGACCCTGGGTTCAATCCCCAGAACCACACACCAACAGAAAAAAAAAAAAAAAAGAAAAGAAAAAAGAAAGAAAAAGGCAAAAAAAAAAAAATCCAAAATGTTTCCATTACTCTTAATTTCATTTTTTAAAGGCAAAATAAAATGAATTAGTGTAGCATGTTATATATTCAAAGTATCCTTGTGTGTTCAGTGATATATTCAGTTGTCCCTTAACCATATCTGCCTATGACCTGTCTAACCTTGAGAATACTGCCCAACCCCACCCACCTGTTAAAAGGGCCATCTAGGTGGGTGTGTTCAATCATACATTCTTTTCAGGGATCCTCTGTACACAGACTGAGCCATCAAAATCACTGTCTTGGCATTTAAGTCACAAGGCAGAAGTTGCTACTGGGGAGAGGCAGAGGATGGCTGCTATGGTCCCCATCCAAACCAGCCTTCCGTTTCCAAGTTTTCTTTTTTTTGGAGTCTAAGATGTATATTCTTTTT